ACTCTGCCAATCTTCCCCTTCAAGCGCAACCACCAGGTCCTTTGATTCTCTCATGCCTTTTATTTCTCTTAATTTTTTTTGTTTATTGCTTGTAACATCAATAACAATGATAAATCTTCTTTCTTTGTATGTGCAGAACATTTGTGGAGAAGAATTACAAGGATCTCAAGAGTTTGAACCCCAAATTGCCCATCTTGATTCGTGAATGCAGAGGGATTGAGCCTCAATTATGGGCTAGATATGGTATTTCCATTCTTCCCTAGCTTCTTTTTCTTTTCTTTTTCTGATGGTTTTTTACATTTCTCAATGTTTTTGGAATTTAGAATGCTCAAGTTCATGAATATATTATGATTGGTTTAAGGTAGATTTCAACTCATGCTGCATTTTTTTGTGTGCATATGACCAAGTTCGTTTTGTGATATTTCGCTTCCAGTCTTTCTGTTGGTTCATAAGATAAGATGCTATGCCAAGGACACACACACGCATGTTTACTTTTAACTGATGGAATCTGCTGATGTTAGGGCCCGTTAGATAGCAATTTTCAGTTTGGTTTTTACTTGTAATGGAAGATAGAGAATGAGAAATTAGTGAGAAGAGAGATGATAGATTAGAAAGTTTATATGTGATGATTGATTAATAAAATTAAAATTAAAAACCAAAAACAATTTCATATGGTTTGTTTTAGTTTTATGCATTTTGCCCTCATTTGTTCTCTGCATCTCTCATATCTCATCTTCCTCCCTCCTTTCTCCTATATGTAGTTCCTCCATCTCTTTAACTAAAAAAACTATAAGGCAACATAAACAGTATGAATTATCAGACTGGCCCTTTAACTATCAATTCTTTAGAGCCGATAAACAAAAGGAATTTGAGATTTCTAAATCTGGGGGCATTTCAAGATGTTTTTGCTCTAGACTTGTGATAATACCCTTTTCAATTAGGAGAGTAATTATAAAATGTTACCTATAGTTGTGAAAGCTGCTAAATGACGGAAAGGAGATGCAGCAGTGTTTGTGAGTTGCTCCATAAAATGCATTGAACATTTTAAAATTAATTGGTTAAAACTATTTAGCATTGTTTGTTAAGTTCAGCGGGGAACATGAGTTTTTATCTTTCCTTGCGTGGCCTAGGATATAGTGACAATTGATTTATTAACGAGCTTAAATATGCACCTGTCATGCGTTTGTTTTCTTCGCCATATCATGTCTATGAACGAAACTGTGTATTGAAAGCCTTTTTGAAAATGTCTAATAAAGATGGTAATTGATTACTTTAAAAATAAGTTAATGCCTAAACTAACTTTTCAAAGATGTAGGGTTTATTCAAGCAACAATTTATGTAAGAAAAAAGACAGATGTCTCCTCTGTTACTCTGATGAACTTATAGTCGTTTCAGTTGCTGTTTTGATTGGTGGTGCCAAATTTATTTATCTTGTTTAAGTTGAAAATGAAACCAGAGATCAAGAGTGGGCAAAACTTAGGTTAGGGAAATTAGAGGAGCATGATTTCTGACAATGGAAAATGTCTTTGTTAGATGGCCAACTATGATTGTTCTAGCTAACCTCCAGCAAATGGTTTTCAGGATTGTTCTATATTGGAGCCAAGCTTTTTTCTGCTTTTCTTCTGTAAGAGATGCTCTTAGGAATCCCAAAGTTTTGGCTTTGCTTCTATTTTGAAAAGTATTGCAAATGTGATGGGGATGCATGGCCTGAGTTTTATAGGTCATTTTAAAATTGTAACTCTAGTATGGAGAAACTTTGCAACAATCAACATTAGAGATACCCGAGTCTGCCTGCTTTCACCCGAGTGGATAATGAAGTTTAGCTATCTAGTTGTCATTTTAGGTGCGGATTAACAGCAATGTAATAGTTCTGGGTATGAGTACTTGATAAATGGTAAACAAGTTCTCTGTTCACAATTAGGTGCAAGTACTTAATACGTTCTATTATGCTTAATGGCCTGATATTGCTCATGTTTAACGTACATTTATTCAAGCTACGCAAGTTCTTTTGTTGGTTCTTTAGTCCTGTGTTGTTAACTTGAATGTTGCACCATTGCTCCATCTACATAACCTTTGATTATTAAACAGACATGGGTGTTGAGAGGGGCGTTCGTTTGGAAGGTTTGACAGAGCCACAGATCTCAAAGGCACTCGAGGAACTTGTTAAAGTGGGGGAGTCTCTTAAGGCCTGAGGATTGACTGTATGAGATGAAATAAATGTATATTCATGGGAAAATCTTTCCTATGATCGCCTGCCCTTTCTTTAGATCA